ATTCATTAAGTCCTTCTTTTGGCCTCTTTTGAGCATTTGAGCCTCTCCTAGATGCATGAGCGTAAAGTTGGAAACTTTACGTGGCCATTCAGCTTTAAGGACCAGATCTACAGTTTGGGGCTATGCCTTTGGTGATTAAGTGCTTAATGATTAATCCCTCACCCTTTTAAGCTTAGGGTTTGGGTTTTGAACCCATTTTGGTGGTTCTTAGGGGTAAAGTTGGAAGCTTTACCCTTCTAGATGCCATTTCAGTTGAGATCTGAGTTGTGAAGCTCTTAGTTTCGATAATGACAGCTTAATGAATTAAGATGTTGGATTTCTGGTGAACTCGGCGAGTTTATTAATAAACTCGACGAGTTGGATCGGTTTCTTCCCGACTTTGCAGACTAATGGAGAAACATGGTGAGTTGAAGGACAACTCTGCGTGTTGGGTGAGTTGAAGGACAACTCGACGTGTTGGGTCAACTCGGGTCGTTGACTTTGACTTTTGACTTTAGTCTTTGACCAAGTTTGACCTATAAGGGACTTTTGGGCATTTTGAGTTGTGTTTAAGGAAATCGTTTATGTTTAGGGGTTGAGTAGAGTCGATATTTAGAGTCAGGATCTGTTCAGCTATCATTCTGTATTCGAGGTGAGTTTCCTTACCGAGATTAGTGGGTCGAAAGCACCAATGTCGGCCCATGTTTATGTTATGTTGTTAGTATTCTAGTTGTCTTTGTAACTCTTGCATGTGCCTGTGTTTATATGTCTTCCGGGCGGGGCCCGATGAATATTTGTATGCTATGTATCCATGTGATTATTGCATGTGTATGTGGTTAATTGATATATGTTATTGTATGTTGGGCGGGGCCCGTTTACCGAGCTCAGCTCGATGCCGGGCGGGGCCCACTATATGTTTATTGTATGGCTGCTATGTGGTATTTTGGGGGAACTCACTAAGCTTTGTGCTTACCATTTCAAGTTTATGTTTTGGGTACTTCTGGTTGTAAAGGGAAGAGCTCGGGTTGACTGCATCACACGCACCATTGAGATTCCGCTTATGATGTTTACTCTAATTCTATGGCAATTGATACATTGGTTTTTATTTGAATGTTTGGATGATACTGGAAAATACTATTTTATCTATTATTAAAATGAAATTTTTGGGACCATATTTTTGGATGTTACAAGTTGGTATCAGAGCCTTGGTTTGAGGAATTTAGGCACACTCTCGGGTGTGTCTGAACTCAAACTGAGGATTTAATGGAAATGTTCAAAAGAAAAACTTTTTTATAAAAATAATTTCTAAAAGAGAAAATGGGTGTGGTGCATGCAATCAGCCGAGCTCAAGTAAGTTATCCTAAAATACTCATGCATGTTTATGATATGTTTTGAATTATGAATCTGTGAATCGCATGCTAGATTAGGGCTAAGGATCTAGGAGAGATGCCTTTGTATGCCTGCTTTTGAACTTATAGATTTGCTTGCTAGTGCTGATTAATCAGTAATAGGATGGCCTGATTAGGTTATGCTCTATTCTGATTACTTGATGCTCGAATGCTGCTTGCTTTAAAGATGAAGGAGAGGAAGAAGAATTTCCTAAAATTACTGACTATTGTTTTTCTATGGATATTTTAGGTGTAATATTTGTTATGCTGGAGACAAAGTAAGATGGCCAAGAAAAGGAGAAAAATCCACCACTTGGAAAGACAAATCCAAATTGTGTGCATACCATGAAGACTTTGGTCATATCACAGAGGATTGCATAGCTCTCAGGAAGGAGATCAACTACCTCTTAGGCAAAGGATACCTCAAAGAAATCATTGGAAAAAGAAAGGAGAGATCCAAAGAGAAAGATCAGGACCCTCAGAAGATCCTCGACAAACCGGGATCCCCTCCCGCTGACGCCAAGGTAATCAATGTGATCTCCGGAGGATCTGACATTTGTGGTATTTCTTATTCTGCAGCAAAGAGGCACACCAAGGTATCAAAAACAGAGAAAGAAAAAGGACCCCAGAAGAACACGTCAATCACAAACAAGAAAGAGATCACCTTCGACGAAGCAGATATACAAGACATCCAGGATCCTTACCATGACGGATTGATGATCATTATTTACATCGCCAACCATTTCGTCAGAAGGATCCTTGTCGATGGAGGATCCTCAATCAAAATTATACTCCTGGACGCATTAAAAAGAATGAACATCCCAGAGTCCGAGATAGTTAGAAGATCCTCGATGCTGATTGGATTCATCGGTGAAACCAAACACACCGTTGGCGAGATAAAGCTACCTATCTACATAGAGGGGGTAAACTATATACAACGTTTTTGTGTAATTGATACATTATCCTCTTATAATGTTATACTAGGTAGACCATGGATCCACAAAATGAAGGTTTCCCCGTTGACATATCATCAGTGTGTGAAGATGCCTACCCCATGGGGGACAGTGAAGATCACAGGAGATCAACAAGAATCCAAATAATGCTACAATACTTCAATGAAATCATTGACGATACCACAACGAGCATAACAATTAAAGCAGGGGAACAAGATGTACTGGAAACAAGAGAACAAGATGTAAAAGAAGTGCCCCTGAACCTTGAGGATCCTGAAGCCAAAATTCTCATAGGATCCTTGATGCTTGGACAAATAGAACAAGATCTAATGAAGTTCCTCAAAACTAGAAGCAAGACGTTTGCATGGAAGCACGACGTTCCTCAAAACAAGATCTAACGAAGTTCCTCAAAGCCCTAAAGTTCACGATAGTCCAAACAAAAGGCCCAAATGGGTGGTCTGAAAGAGTACGCCCGACGTACTCGCTTTTATGCCCTGCGTACAACTGATTCTTATGGGAAAGGTTACGGGGCCAAGACGCAGTACGCGCAGGGTACCAAAACTTACGCCCGATGTATGCGTCCAAGACCCAATCTTTCCATTAAGGTCTTAATGCTTTAAGACCCAACATCCAACTTCAGATCTAAGCCCAATAAAACGTATTAAGTTATAAACTTGCAAACTTTATGCTTCTGCATGTCTTAATAAGTTCCAAAACCAACTTAAACACTTTATCCTCAAAGAATGGACACCAACCTTTGTATGGTCCATAATAACCCATCAAGATGACATTTTTATGCACTAACACTATCATAAATGATAAGATCTAACATTCTAATCTCCTTGAGTAGCTTATACTCACAAGGATGACTCAAGGGACCATTATATGATAAAAGCAAGCCCTAGACTAGATCTAACACATATAGTCATCAAGGTAGGAGCTTTATACCTCCAACAAGCTGGAAATAGTGAATAATCTCTGGATCTACAAACTCCCTCTTGTCCAATGCTTCTCTATAAGTCTTCTTCTTCTTCGATAAACACCACACACACCAAAACACACACTCAATGGTCAATCTCTTGGGAAATGGATTAGGGTTTCGAGGTATAGCTCAAAGAGGCAATGGAGGCTGATAAGGTGAGGGCTTGGGGGACTTAATGTGTTTAAATAGGGTGAAAACCCTAAAAATTAGGGTTTTTCCCTGACTGATGTACGCCCAACATACCAGGGGGATACCCCGCCTCATGCATGCATCAGAGTACGCCCAACGTACTAGGGTCCAAGAGTGCAAATAAATGAATTTAATTAATAAACATTTACCTGACATATCAGGCGTTACAGTTTCCCTCTTTATGAGTTTGCATGTCTAGAAAATGCACAACACCAAAACCCTAACTTGTCTTAAGCTCTTAAGATTTCTAGCATTTGCATGGAAGGGGATAAGGAACCAAGGTTACACTTTTATGACTCTAAACACTGGAAAACGTCCAAAAGGACAACCCATTTGGTCTAGAACATTCCATACTCAAGAACACCATAGTTTGGGGACAAAAAGCACATAATAGCATTATACAAGCTAGATCTAACAAAATAAGCATCAAAGTATAAACTTTATACCTTTTAGAGATGGAGAAGGGTGCAAAACTTCCAAATCCAAGGTTACTTTAAGATTCCAAGATGTTCTCTTTTTCTTCTCCCTCCTCTAAGAACACCAAAACACACACTAATGGCTCAAGGATGCTCACAAAATGGATTAGGGTTTGCTAGGTACGAAGATGAGAATTGAGGTTGGTGAATGAAGAAGGTATTAAGAGTTAAGGATATTTAAATAGGGTCCAAACCCTAAGAATTATGGTTTTTCCTTCTACCACGTACGCCCAACGTACACCATCAGCCCACGCGTTTTATATAAGTGCCACATAGGACCATTTTGCAAACAGTTTTCATAATAAAGGTCAAAAGTGTAATTACCTGGAAACCGAGATGTTACATTATGTTTTTTCTTTTTGATTTTTTTAGATAACTTGGAACTTCAATATCTCAAGTTTTGAAATCCTTGTTGCCGGGCCTAAAAACAATTCAAAAACCGTTATCCTTGTTGGAAAATGGTTCTGGAAACGTTTCAACATCACAAGTTCACAAATAAGCATTTTCATTTCCTTCACTTCTTTTTTTCTTATTGTTTTATCAGTTTAAAATAATAACATGTTTTCTTGAAAATATTTATATGGGGTGCTACTATACGCACCCCCCTCACTCACATAAATTTTTTAATCATTAGGGGGAGGGGGTACAAAAAGCAATTTTGGGGGTACGTATATAATTTTCCTTTATATAGTAGTGAGAATAGGAAAAAAAATGAATGAATACTATTACAAAAGCGATCTAATGATAAATTTATAACAAGTGTCCATTTAAAAAAAACAAAAAATCACCCTCGTATATTATTATTTTTTTACTGTAAGGACCTCATTTTTTTATTTTGCTTGGGGCCTCAAATCAGTTTGGAACGACACTGGAATCTGCTATATATTCAATTTGTAAGGCTTCTCTCTTCCCTTCCCATTAGTGATACTTCTTGACTACCACATCTATTTGGAAGGTTTCTAGTTGGTTGGTGTTGAGTTTCCCACTTAGTTGATACTTCTCTAAAACCTTCGCGGATTTGCAAGTCCATGTTATGACTCCCCCCTCCCCCTCAAGTTTAGTGTTGTCCCTCCATTTCGAAGTCTATCTTCATATTCAAATGTATGTTGTTACTTTAGTTATTTGGTATTGCTCTTCATATCTAGTTTAGTTTCATGTAATATATGGATGTTGGTTTTAGGTTGTACCTTGTATGTTTTTGTCCGACTTTTTGTTGGCTTTGTATATAAAATGTCTTGTCCTTCCAAAATGACACATGATCAAAGTGTTTAAACAATGTTTTGTTTGCTTTTAAAATTTTATATGATTAGTAATTGGACTTTGAAGAACTGAATTTTTGTCTAGATAGGCTAAACTCGGAAGAATGATGATAAATCAGAATATATCTTTAGGAATGATCTTTTGGTTGATTTCTAGTTAGAAGTTCATATGAATATACAAATTTTTGGCATGTTGCATTTGTCTCTATAGCAACATTGGTTTGAATTTGAGATGACAAAGTCTATGGATGACTCTATTTTAATTTTGGATATGTTTAAAAAAATGTTAATAATAATGTATTTAGCTGGATATCCGATAACAAAACCAATTTATTTGATTTTTACCTTTTTATAATAATGGGGCAATATTACTATAAGATCATTTGGTATGCTTATCACGAATGGATTTGTGGTCTACATGGCCACTAACCATGAATGTGAACACCATCTTAAAGTGTTTGTGGTGGCTAGTGGTATACTATTTTCTTGGCCATTTGTGGTGGGGAGCATTAATCACTACATTCAATCATCTTTTTTTTTCTCTCTCTCTATTTCTCTATCTCTTTCTATATTTTAATTAATTAAAAAAATATATTTTTTATTTTAATAATAAAAAAATAAAAATGATATAATGGTGGACACACCAATCTTTTAGTGGTCGTGTGGTGACAACGAATCGCTCATTAGTTGTTAGTGATGGATATACCAAATTCCCTAAACTTTTGATTTGATAAATAAATTTCAAAGTTGCATTTATACGAAAACCAATTATATTTGTTGTTTATTAAAGGGATCCCATGTGTTTACTAGTAATAAATTTTGACGTCATGTGTTTACTAGTAATAAATTTTGAGGTCATGTGTTTACTAGTGGTCTAGTACTAGAACTAAATTTTATAGAAATTTGGGGGGGGGGGGGGGGTGGTGTTGTGTGTGTGACAGGTGTCAGTCGGGCGGATGCAAAGGGTTTGACGCATTCATTATCCAATCACTTAGTTTAGACCTCACGTTGCTACATAATCATATATATGTCGACGTGGCGCCTGTTTTCACCATGAGTTAACGGTGCGAATGATCTAGTAACGTCAAGCGGCCTGTGCACGCTTCCCGACGTCCCGCGAATCCCCTTTATATACGACTCCTCCGCCATTGAATTCCATTTTCATCATATTTTTCAAGGAAGGGGATAAACAACAAGAAACACGTCATCTCTGCCATTAAAAACACATCCCATTTTTGTTCATACCAAATCAAAATCAAAACTAATTGAATAATCCGAGAGTGGTGTGCTTCAATTTCAAGTAATTTATTTAATCTGGGTCTCATCTGTTAATTTCTTCTTGATTTCTTCTTCCATCTTCCTTCCTTGTTATATGATCTGTCTGGGAATAAAAAACGCATCTGTCGTTGTTCATCTCAATCGGTTGCATTTCAGGGTGCAATCAAAACCCAATTTTCTATCACCGAGAAATCAATCACCGTCAGCAGGTGTTTTCTATTCCAGTGTTTATCGTAAAAAATCTGTGATCGTTAATACAATAGATCCATTTCTAATGGCCAAAGGCGACGCCGCCGGAGAAATCATGCTGACTTCAGGAGCCAGTGGGCGTGTAACCGCGCTCCTCTCTATGCAAGTTTTGAAGAGCTTTTTGATGCTCGTGAACGCCTTTCTTCTGTTGCTATTTTTCCCATTTCGGGGACGGAAGCGGTGTCATTCCGGGCAATTGCCTTTGTCGGAGAAAGGTGGGAAGGAGGAGAAACAGGATGTCGGCGGGAGCGGATGCGGGGTAAATAGTAATAACAACAACAATCGGAAGGTGGGGGTGCCTGTGATGAGAGTCCCGTCGACGATCGTGTCATGGAAGAGTAGCACATCGGCGGCCGTGGCTGTAGACCATGAGGTGGCGATACGTAGGGCACTTGCAATCCGGAAAGTGACGGACGGCGGCGACGTTAGCCGACGGGAGTTTTCGCTTTTTGTGACGCCCAGAGGTGAGACGATGTTCACCCAATCGTGGACCCCTATTTCGGACAAGACCAGGTGAGTTTGATTCCTTATTTTAGTATTGGGTTTTATCCATAGCTTTATCCTTATCTGTTGTAGCTCACCTAAAAGTTTAAAAGAAGCCGATTTCTTTAATATATGACTATAAGGATTTAGATGATTGATCATTGATTAGAACCCAGAAAAAAGTGACTTTTTCACATCCTTTAGAGGGTATCTTGAAAAGTTTCAGTTATACAAACAGTTTTTAATCTCTTTTTGGATCTAGTAATAGTTTAGAGTTCATGATTTGCTAGTGCGGACCACTCACTTTTGGTTTTCTCATTGCTTGTAGTAATGGGTAAAAATTTAATTGCAAAGCGGTAAAAATTGCTTCTCTTTTGATCTGTTGTAAGAAGGGTAATCTTTTGTTTCTAGTACTTTTTGAGAGAAGAAGTGCTAAGATAATTTCTTGAGCTTGTGAACATTCTTGTCAATGTCAAAATTCAATGCATTTTCACTGTTCTTGGGTGTTGGAATTTGTAAATTATGTTATGTCATTTGTTAACTTCATCATCATATGATCATATGATGATATGTATGTATACTAATGTCAGATAAGTATGAAACAGTTGAACTATGTGTGATTCTTATGGTGTTTTTTATTTAACTCGATAATAATGAGTACGTGCATTTGTGCTGACATGGTTGTTATTCCTAAGATAATAAGATGATGGATGTTGGGATGGAGTGCAAGACAAGGGCATAATATAATAATGCCACATGAAGAACGATTTAACCAATTGGATTGACTAGAATAAAACGAGCAAATGGGACAAAGGAATATATTCTAATTATATGACTGTTAAATTCAATGTTATTGTTTGCACTAGGGTTGCTTTCCAAACGTTAATTTTAAGTAATGGATAAGAGAATATCTTCTAATTATTCATCTATTAAACCCAATCTTATTGTGTGCTTTTTGACCGATAATTTCAATGTGATGTGGACTTTTCTTATTGTCGTTGTATGAACTGACCATAAAAGTTATGTCATCACTTGTAGGGCACTGGTTGTTCTGTTGCATGGACTCAACGAACACAGGTATGTAGGCTTAGGCCTCTCTCTCTTTTTGACTTAATGCAGAAAGAATGATAAGTCCTAACTTTCTACAAACTTGCTCTCATTTATTTTTTTAAACATCATCTATCCAAGACAAGACAAGGCTTAATGGAAAATTAATAAACAAGCCTTTTTTTTTTTGTTTGTTCTCTGTTGGTTAATGTAGACTGTAGAGTTTTTGAACAGTGGCAGGTATGATGAATTTGCAAAGCAGCTGAATGCACATGGATATAAAGTTTATGGAATGGATTGGGTTGGTAAGTACTTAAAACTAAACATCCTTTTAGTGGTGGGTTGTGTTCTCCAATTTAGTTATTTCTCCTTTATTCTCTTCTCACTTTGACTCTTTGAGTATGGAAGGCAAGATATTTGAACCCACCCATCTTTTCCTCATGCTTCTTGTTTCTTTTGCTCACTTGCTTCACCTGTATTTACTCACATGCTCGTCTCCAATTCCCTACATTTTTGTTTCAAAATGTCTTGATGGCAATCTAAACTATGTAGTCTGGTTAAAAAGTTAAGAACTGATTTGATGCTAAAAAAGTCAAATGTAGGCTCTTTCTTGGGGCATAGGAAGTTTTAGTTTGTTTACTTTTGGTCATCAATTAAGGATTAGAAGAGTTGTTGTTGTTGTTGTTCAACTACGCATCTATATTCGGATGTTATGTTGCAGGGGTTGAATTTGAAATATTTTGGATGCCCATGCCCATTGGCGCAAAAGCTCGTCTTGTTAAGTAAGCATATTGCATATTATTTGAGTCATTCCATTTATGAAAATGATTGAGCAAATATGAATTCTTTCTTGCAAATATATTTGCCCTCACGATCATTTTTCCATCCCATGACCACTATGCCCTTGGAGAAGACAAGTTCATCCCTTTGGTCATGGGGAAGATGAAAAGGGCGTCTTTGATTTTTCTTTCTGAAAAGCTTTAATGATGGAGTTCCAATTTTTGGGTTCTTGTTGTTCTTTTTTATCTGTTGGCAAACATAAAATGTTTGTAATTACAATGCATTCAAATAAAGAAACCTGTTGACATGAACTTACATCACATGAGATATATATGTGTGTGTTGATTTCTGTATTTCTACTGTTTTGTTTAGGACATGGTGGGAGCGATGGGCTTCATGCATATGTACACTCTCTTGATGACGCTGTTACTGATGTGGTAAGGTCTAGCTATTATTACACTAATAACAGTCATCGTTGTTGATTTTGCCATCTGACATGGCCTCAAATGTTATGCAGAAAGCATTTATAAAGCACGTCTTGGCTGAAAACACAGGTCTTCCATGTTTTTGCTTTGGGCATTCAACTGGTGGAGCCATCATTCTTAAGGTAATGTGCTTATGAATGATAGGGTTCCCAATTCCAGCTTCTCTCCATTGAATTGGTTCTAAAAGCTTTCTTTCTGCAAATTGTGTTGATTACTTTCAGGCTGCGCTCGATCCGAAGGTCGAGAAGTCAGTATCTGGTATTGTGCTCACATCCCCTGCCGTAGGAGTTCAACCTTCGCATCCAATCTTTTTGGTAAGACAACTTCTCCTTATTAGTCATTAGTATGCTTCCTTTGGAGAGTTTGTCTTCGTTTCAGTGTGTTCTAATTTGATGGAAAAATGACAGATACTCGCTCCTCTTTTCTCCCTCCTGTTGCCCAAGTTTCAACTGAGTGCTGCGAACAAGAAGGGTACGGCTGTCTCAAGAGATCCAGAAGCACTAGTGGCAAAGTACTCCGATCCACTTGTCTATACCGGATCAATTAGGGTTAGAACAGGTCACGAGATTCTCAGGATCACGTCCTTCTTGCAACGCAACATCCAGAAACTAAAAGTGCCGTTCTTCGTTCTCCATGGCACTGCCGACACCGTGACAGATCCAGACGCTTCATTGAAGCTCTACAAAGAAGCATCCTCGGAAGACAAATCAATCAGCCTTCTTCCGGGTTATTTACATGACCTACTGTTTGAACCAGAACGAGAAGAGATCAAAAGGGAGATCATCGACTGGTTGAACAGCAGAGCGTGAAAGAGCGAGCGGAGTATGTCGATCGTGGCGTCTGTTGGAAATTATGTATTGGAAATAAAATATGGCTCAAAACGTTGAAGAGACATTTGGGTTGTAAGCTTTCATGTGTAGAGAGAGGGAGAGAGATTCTGCAATGAGTTTTTGATGATTTCTCATGTCAACTCTAGCAGAAACTGCTCCAAGATACTCACTCGCTCATTGTTATTTGACAGCATGTACTCCGTATTTTGTACATTTTTAGGAGATACCTTCGGTTTCCTGGATCAACTATGTTTTGCGATAGCCTTCTTTTCTCTCTCTCTTATACCTGCAACGGAGCGGGTTTTGACCTTGATCCGCTCCAAAACCGTACAAAGTTAATGGGTTTGGATTTTTATGATTTGTTTACTCGTTAACGATCCATACCCGTTAACCCTTTTATTAAAAGGGTCGGGTATCGATCTGATCCTGTTATGACTAGGGGTGTTGATCGGGTAATTTTTCCGGGTTTCTGGTGATTCGGGTCTTTCATGTTAAGAAAAATACCCGTTACCAGACCCAAATTAAATTCGGGTATCGGTTCGGGTTTGGGTATAAACTTAATGAAATAAATACGTCGTGCTTTATTAATTTTGTTTATATAAACAAACGAGGCATAAACGAAGTTACTCAAGCTTTAAATATTGAGATTTTATTGAGATTTTTTTAGTCAATAATACCTGAGATATCAAGTAATTTTTTAACAACTTAATCTAATCTAATAAGATGTTAAAAAAACAAATACTTAAAGATCTTAATTTAAAATTTTAAAATGTTTAAGATAATTGTAGTTGTCATGTTTTGAAGTTTCGTCAAGATAATGAGTTTGTTAGTTGTAATAAAAACTATAATCTAGATAACAGTTAAGTTTTAAAGAATATGATGATATATAAACAATTACTTTTAATATTGCTAGTGTCATATTGTCATAATAAAAGAGATTCATGTTTTACAATAATGATAGTTAGTTTAAGCATGGTCAAATACCTGCTACAAAGTACAAGTTCTACGAAAAAAAAGAATTTTTAAAATAATTCGGGTAATTCGGGTAAACCCAACAAACGTACCCTTTACCCGACCTGAAAAAAAATCGGGTTACCCGATTACCCAAAAAAATTTACCCGATACCCGAAAAAATCAGGCGGGTAATTCGGGTATCAGGTATTTTCGACAGGGCTAGTTATGACCCACTCGTCTAAAGTTTTAAAATATAAATTAAATCACAGTATGTTTAGTATAGGACTCGAGAAGCTGAATCGTTCCACTTTGTGACAGGCTTTTAACCTGGTTGTTCAAGATGCTTTGAAAGTTATTGGTGAATTCATTTACAAAGTAACAGAAACCGTAAAATATTTGAAGCGATCTCCGTTAGCGATACAAAAATTTAATTATGAGAAAGTTTATTCTGGAATGAATGTTGTCTGTTTTAGTGATTCATGTTATATGTGTTATAATGCATAATTATAGCCTAATTTTAATATTGTAAATGGGTCGGGTAAAAATGGTTGAAAATCCATTGATCCGATGGATAAAGATATGAGTTTAATTATTTAAAATCCTGCGAGTTATGAGTCGGGTTTAGATCAACATTTGAAAATTGTTTAATGGGTTTGGATCAATGCCGATCTGCTCCAATCCTGTTCATTTGCCAGACCTCTGTCTCTCTCTCTCTCTCTCTCTCTCTCTCTCTCTCTCTCTCTCTCTCTCTCTCTCTCTCTCTCTCTCTCTCTTCATCGGATATTCGGATGTGATTCATGGCTCATGCCCGTATCCTGGTTAAAATGGAGACCAGTGAAAAGTGGAAAACTATGTCGACTGAACGGACCAATGTTGCACATAATTCAAAATAGAAGGTTAAAAGTGAAAAAAAAAATTGTTATGACGATGAAGGCTAAATCCTTTTTGTTAACCAGAGGGGCTTACCGGCACATTATGTGGCTCAAAAAATGCCTCTCTTGATTCTTGTCTATTGTGCAGAATTCATGGCTTGATATAACCCATTATCATGCCCACCTTGTTTAGCTTAAGCACAACTTTGTCTCTAAGTTGAATTGTTTCGAGCTTTTGCGACGTTCCTCGAATGTACCCATTGATGTGTATCTTTTCGGTCATTATTATCGTATTTACTGTAGTGGTAAGTGATATACTTTATATGATAGGAATGACAATGGGTTATGCATTTCTAGATTGCTCGATTCTGCTAAGAACGATCCAATTCCATTAATTTGTATGTTGAGATAGTAAGTTTATTTTTCTCATTTTTAATGATTTTATTCATATCTTGGAGATTCCTTTTGGATACTTTTTGCTTTGTTTGTTCATAGATGGACGTCATGTTCTAATTACTTCGTTGTAATTTATGAAAAGTAAATTTCCCAAGGGAGCCTTAAAGTGGAGCAACTTTGATTTGGTATTTGATTTGGTACTTCTAATCAAGATGGTCCCCCATTGACCAAGAAACCATTGTCGGGCATAGAAGTAATTGTTGGCTATGTCAATCCTGATGATGATGAGTGAGAGGATATGCATACAGGGAACAAATTTAGCCTGGTTAATGAAACTTCTAAATGGTGATAGTTCTATTGATTCCTTCTTTCGTTTTTAGAGTATGTCTACTCAGCCTGGGTCGTGGTGATATGAATTGGTAGATGCTATAATGTTTTTCTTATGAGAACGGCTACGTTGTTACTTGGCTCATTTGTCATCTTTAGGTTTCATGATATTTTAATTATTTCAATCCGCAAGGTACCATTTAGGACAGTTTGGTACAGGTTACATAGGCTTAGGTTATATATATATATATATATATATATATATATATATATATATATATATATATATATATATATATATATATATATGTAGGTTTAGGTTATTTTGATTTTACTAACTATTGTGTGCCAGAATGCACAAAGCTGGACCACCGGATGGAATAGAATCAAATGTCATGATCTAAGGGTCTATGATATCACAACAGGGTAACATGTACCATATAATCACACAAATTCCAGCATAAGGGTATTTTGGTCAATTTACCTATTAAAAAAGGAAATTTCCAGAATTTAAGGGATATTTAATTCATTTATTTTTAAAAATCTGAATATTTTAAATTAATTCAAATTTAAAAATCCGATTTTATTATGTCAAAATGACGGAATGTCAACCATAAACTAGTAAATATATTTTCGGTTTTATTCTTGTAGAATACATTTCCAATGCAGTTATATTTGGTAATTGACCTGATTTAAGAATAAAATATTATTCATATACATCCAACTTGGGTCTATGATTTTATTCTTAATATACATCCGAAATTATACATATTCTAACAGAATATCATAAAAAATAAATAAAATTCTTAAAAAAATAGCACTCTTGAATATACAATTATTGAACAAATACACTTCATCCTCTTCAATGGTACATATAATCAACTTGATCTTCACATATATACTTGTTGTTGAACTCGATTCCAAATATTTCTCTTGTATGATCAATATTGAATTCCTTCTCCATGCAATTCTGAAAGAATAAGATACATTACTCGTTAGTATTACCAGTTAAACAAATATACTTGTTGTTAACAAACATTCTCAAAGACATTCTAACAGAATACATTTATATAAATAAATTCTAACAGAATACATTACAGAATGCACTTAAATCATAGTCTTTTCTTCTATATGCATAAACATTCTAAAGCATGTATAAATGTATTCTGTCAGAATTACTAGCAACACATGTTTTATGTAATATTTATATTCTCATAGAATGAACACGTGTTTGCATTCTGATATGAAAAAAAACTAAAGAATAAAATTCGAGTTCATTCTTAGAGAACAATCATTGTAAAAGAATAAAATTAAAGCTTCCCTGCCTTTTTTGGTTGTCTACGTCTGATCAATTTGCAGGATTACATGTGAAGAACTAGGCGAATGCCCGCGCGTTGCGCAGAAAGACCTATGTAGTTGAAATCTTTACAAATATATGTTTTTTTTAATATAACAATAGCATTGTTGTTAAATTTGATATAATAATTTGTATACTAAATTGATATAATATATTGACTATTTGGAATTATATGATAATATATACATCTATTATAACTGCATAATCTCAATCGTTTGAATGGCTTCTACCTGGGAGTTACTCACGAATAAAATTAAATATAATATATGGTTTAATGTTATTTATTGTTGTTCTTATTGTTAATTAATTTTTTAAAATTTATTTGTTTAATGTTTTAATTTCTATCATTATAATTATTTAAAACATCAAACATTGTTTTTTGATTTTAAAGGTAACAATATAATCCTTTATATAGAGTTATTTTTAACTATTGTTATCATAAGTTATTTTAAGCTACGTATTTGAAAACTTTTAACGATTATAAAAATATCTTAAGGAAATATTTTAGTTAAACTGAGATTACAATTTAATTTTTGCATTTAGTTCTACAATTTATCACTTTTAACTATTCACAAAGTATTCTTTGAGTTTTTAAGTGGAACTGAAATTTATATTTAAGTTGACATTGTAATGTTATATTTAAATTAACAATTTAAGTATTTTGTCCAAATTGTTCAAAAGTTTTAGCTTTAAACTGATAATTGTTTACATACAATAACATATTAAATTTAATAAATTAAGTATAATATATTAAAAGTTAAAGTCATAACTTTATAAGTAGAAGTAAATATATTATTTTAATATTGAAATTTAGTTTATTTATGGTTACACTTTAGGTTTGATATTTATTTAATCTTATTAACCAAATTATAATCATTATTAGAAAGACATTACAATTTATCACTTTTAATTATTTACAAAATATTTTTTGGGTTGTTTAAGTTAAACTAAACATTATATTTAAGTTCACCATGTAATATGATATTTAATTTAATAATTTAAGTATTTTATAAAAATTGTTCAAAATTTATAGCTTTAGAATGATAATGGTTTTCATCCAACAATATATTAAAATTAATAAATCAAGTATAATATGTTAAAAGTTAAAAAACATAACTTTATATGTAGAAGTGAATATATTTTTTAATATTGAAATTTAGTTTATATATGATTATACTTTAGGTTTGATATTAATTTAACCTTATTAACCAACTTATAATCATTATTAGAAAGAAATTGAAAAGTCATGGGAGTTTCAAATGAATGTGGTGAAAGGAAAAATGCATGGGAGTTTCAAATGAATGTGGTGAAAGGAAAAATGTTTCCTTTATAGTA